TAGGATTCTGGTTGGAAAGCCAGAAAGAAGACCTAGACGTTGGTGGAAGGATAATATTAAAACAGATCTTAGCGAGACTGGATCGGGTGGTATGGATTGGATTGATCTGGCTCAGGATAGGGACCGGTGGAGAGCTCTTGTAAACACTATAATGGGCTTTCGGGTTCCATGAAATGTTGGAAAATTCTAGAGTAGCAGCACAGCTTACGTCTTCTCAAGGAAGGCTCAGCTCCATGAAGTTAGTTAGTTATATGAGCCAACGGATTCAATTCATGCAACCAACACAGCCACCACTAAACAAACCAAACTAAGCAAAAGCACCGGCCAGCAGACCAACTTGCAATCAAAGATCTTCCACAAGCAGTGCACACGCATTCAGCTGTTGAAGAATGTCCTGCTGTAATGGAACTCAATGTTCAGCAACTTGCCTGCAAAGGCTCACCCATTTTGAGCCGGTTTAATCCAGTTCACGCCTTAAAAGCTCACTTCGTTTTGATCATTCAAAGTATTATCAGTGATAAATCCATACACGTTTGTTTCTTCCATGGTCTTTGTCCAAAAAATTTCAAACCAATTGTGTACACTCATGATTGTTAGTTTTTGGGCATTGTCTATCATCCGGTATTCTAAAAAGCACACAAGAACACGTTTCGTCGGAGACACCTACTGTGTTGTCTCCGTTGGAGAGAGCTAATCTCAGTCGGTGGACAACCCATGTCAGTATAACAACAGCTATGAACACACCCGAGATCAGGCTTTATCAATAGGAGATAACAGGAAAATGTACAATCTCCCATTGACAAAGACTGGTCTCAGGTGTTTACGTAGCCATAGTGATACTGACATAAGCTGTCCAGTGACTGAGGTTAGCTTTTTAACAGACCCAACAGAGTAGGTGTGTTATATTTATTGTTGTTGCTTTGTTAATATGTCCGATCAATCTTGATTTCATTATTAAGGCAGCAGAGTTTGTGAAGTGCGAACCATGGCGTTTCTCGTTATACCTGTTTCAGTTTCAAATATTCTCTTGAGAATTTTTGTTTCATGTATATACTTCGTTAGCTTATATTCTTGGATGTTAAGGGACTAGTAGTACAGAATTGTATTCTGATATTTACGAGAATCTAAGCTGACTGAGAGTATATCTCTTCTGATATTACACGTACTTAGAAATGCTGAAGTGCTGTTGCGCTTCAAGTACAGCTTACTGTTTCTTTTCTGCTCTCTGCGGTTCTCTTTTTTTATTGTTGTTTTGTTCCACAAAAAGAAAAGAACACGCAATAAATCGGCCCCAGTAAATTCAGCAACCTTTCAGCCAAAGTTATCGAACCAGAAACTGGGGCCCTCTCAATTTTATAACGATTAAAATTTGTATGCGCTTTAGACTGAAGTGTATAGAGCCGAGACAGCGCAATTGGTATAGCGACTGGTTACGGGTTGGACGACTAAGTGGTCGGAGTTCGAATCTTGGTGGGGGCAAGAACCTTCACTCCTCCAAGTCGTCCAGACCGGCTTTGGGGCCCAACCAGCCTCCTATGCAATGGTTAACGGGGGCTCTTTCGCCGGAAGTAAAGCGGTCGGGGCGTCAAGCTGACCACTCACTTCCAGCGAGTGCCGAGGTAAAGAAAAATTGAGTCTGTTCAACCAGTCCCCCTACGTCATCATGGCGTTGTGCTTAATTAGTTAAGCACAGGGACAACTCGACTATTACTTTTGCTTTAGCCTCAAGTGCATGAATTGAAAGCATAATGATATCATGTCCGTCCGCCCTTTTGTTCATATATTCCATTTCAAAATTACACACTGGTCTTCGATAAAATGTTACATTGAAAGCTGATACTAGAACCCTCTGTCAGCAAACAAAAGCTCTAGCCAATATTTGGAATGGCAAATATTCTGTCACATTCCCGTTTCTGCTGTCGATATTACTATATTAATTGTCGGTCGTACGAAAGTCTTCCCTAGTGTGGCTCATTTTGCGTGTGATAGCTTTTCTATTTTCATACCTTAAAATATATCGCGAACTCCTTAATAATATAATGGGCGCACCCACATGTCAACAGGGAATTCCCCGAGGCCTGTAACGTTAGCTGACGAACTTTAGACATACTCTGAGGACAAAGTTTATTGTATTCAGTTTGCTCGTTTTGAAACTTATTTTCAAGATGAACTTATAAAAATCTTATTCCCAAACGGTGGAATACGGATTTTTACAATTAGGAAGAAAATATTTTAAAAGCTAAATTTTTAAGAACATGATGGGGGAAATTCATTTTAAAATTATAACCAACTGCAACTAAATTTATGAAGGGCCTAAACTTTTCTGCATAAAATTATTCGGGAAGACAACGTGAGGTAAAGGTAAAAAGATAAATTTATCCCTGTAACAGGCCGTGGAGGCCCACAGGGTTTTAAAACGTCGAGGCTCCTAAATTTTCTAGACAGTCGGCTCACAGATGGCGATGAGGTTGTCAGCCTTACACGCCGGCTGCACCTTTACCCACAGGAAGTTTCTTGGTACTCATTTCTGTTAGCAGCTGAATCGACCCCGGGCAATAGTGCGGCTGGGAGGAGAGGTCAATTGAAAAATCTAATGACCTCATCGAGAATCGAACCCGTGACCTTCTGGCTTGCAGCATAGTACCTCAACCACCTACGCTACCAACGTGAGAGAGACTGAAAATAAAATTATCTGTTTTCATGCCTATGAAAGAACATATTTTTGATTGTGTCTTCGACTGTTATTTTGACTTTAAATGATAAGCTGTAAAGATTATCATGGGGTGAGTGAGGAAAGATTGTGATATTGCCTGCCTGTATTCAGTAGGATAATCCAGTTAAGGCTGCGCGCTCAGCAATACTACTAGCACACCGGAGAGTCTCTTTTTGTCCGAAGTCTACTTGGTGTCTGTCTCATGTCCTAACGCCCACTCGAGGGTAAAATACTTATTTGGTATTCTGTACGCTTATCTTTCACGCGGAGAAGTGTCAGGAACCTAGAGGCAGCACGCACTCTTTCGTTAATTTATATGGTAGAGACTTGCATGATGAAGTCTTCTAGTCCCCAAAACTTGGTTTAGAAAAGCGGCTTCCTACAGCTTTTAGTTCCACCTGATGCGAGGCTGACTTTCTGAAGGAGCGTCTGTGATTTCATTCCGTCTCTACGGCAAATTCCTGCTTCCGTGCACCAGTTCGTAGTTCATACTGTTGCATCTCTTAACCTTGAGTAAGGAGTGTGAAACATTACAGATTGCTTGAGACAAACGGCGCGTATGTTACTTGCAAAAGGCCCATCGAAATTTCGAAGGAAATATCTGCAATAAAAATGTTTTACCAAAATACCTAACCTCAATAACATGAAACGTTTAAAAAAAGTGAATAATATTCATACGTATAAACTATGTGTATTGTAACGTATTTGCTCTATGCAGGAACTGTTGAGCCACAGAGGCCACGGGGAACGCGCGCAACGGGAGCTTTGCGGATTGTATCGGCGCGTTGCTAGGCGACAGCTCTATGAACGCTTGGATTGTCCAACAGTGAGTAGGGGTCACGTGACCTTTGCGTTTCCGCAAGTGACATCACATACACCCCACCTAGCTGGTTGCTACGCAACGCTCGGTAAACGCTCTTCCACGCTAGGCTGTGACGTCACGCAACAGTGAAGCGAGCTGCGTTTTCCGCTTGTCCGATTGAGAGTTCATAGGAGAAATGGAATTCCTAAGAGTCGGAGTATTGACCCTCCAAAAAGTCCTCATTAGATCCGTAATGACTTATGCTAGTCCCGCCTGGGAATTTGGGGCAAATTATATAACAAAATTATGCAGACAACAAGCAGCAGTCATACAAAACCATGATAATGAGACTGTTCGCAATATTGGACAAGGCAAAGCCCGACATAGAAAGTATGAGAGGCTTAAACTTGGCGGCGGTCAGGCATACGACCGTTCAAGTGACTAGACTACCATTGTGGCGAATACTACTAGAAATAGGGCACAGTCTGCTGTACTGAGTCTGGACTGACAAGAGGCCTTGTATATGTATATTGTACAAAGAAGTAAATATTAAGAGTAAACTTATAAATAAATTACATACTGACAATGAACTTAATACTACCGACTATGACTGACAAATGACAGACCTGACCTCTCGTTGGAGAGGGCGCCCCACATGGACAGGACAGTAACTTTCTTACAAGAAGAAACATCTGGTCATGAGTCCCAGCCGGGGCTCGACACCAAGACAGACAGACTGACTGACCGTCAGTTGCAATGTGACTTTGACTTTGACTTTGAGTTGAAGAGTCGAGTCGGAGCTAGTTGCGCGTTATGGGAGAAGCATGCAGAGTACAGAAGAATATAGGAGGTCTGCCTGTGAAAATCTAAGGTGTGACTAGAAGATTTTATGTGTGATAATCAGTGATAATGAGTGATAGCTGATAAGTCAACCAGTTAAGAATTATTGTGTGACTTCAACAATTTATATGCGCTATTGTCCAGCGAGATTTGTAGTGTGTAATTCAGTGAGACTTGTAAAGCTCCTGTGTTATCAGTATGTGGAAACTACTGCAGATAAACTGAGAAGATTAGTGTATAGTAATTGTAAATTGTGTAAACCCGCAATAGTGTTAGTGTAGTTACAACTAGTAAATATTAAAATAAACCAGTTACTAAACCAAACCGCGTCTCCAGTCGTCCAAACACGTTACATTGGTGTCAGAAGTGGGATTGGATTGATCGAATTACTGGATTGAATATTGCAGTAGAAATTATACCGCCACACTATGGAAGGGGAACAAAGGTTGGAGCTCCTGAAAGCCATGCAAGAAGCGATGGAAACACGTAAAGGTTCTTTAGCCTCTAAAATGGACGCCAACCAAGCAGGAATGAAGGCCATGCAGGAACAGATGGACGCCAACCAGGAACAGGCAGACGCCAATATGAAAACCAACCAAGAAATTGCAGCCAGAATGGAGGCCAAGATGGGCAAATTTAAAGGACATGAAAGAAGAAATGCTGGCCAGGATAAAAGCCATGACAAAGGACAATAATGAGAAGTTCGAGGTCCTTCAAGGCACTCTTGTTACCCGGATCGATGCCAACCAAGAAGAGTTTAAAATCACAGTAAATGCCCTCCAAGAGAAGATGGATGCCTGGATAGCAAACATGAGGTATGAACAAAAAGATAAAACGGCCTGCCAAAAAGCAACTGAGACCAATCCAGAGAAAATGGAGCCAAGTCCAGAAAAGATGGAGTCCGGAGCAGAGCATCGGGAGGTCCCTAAGGAAGAGGCCGCAGTGGAAACTTCTGGAGCAATGAAGAAGCGGCATTGGGGCCAGAATCTAGCTGCAGTTACTAGACCCGTCGGAGGTGGTGAAGATAGTTTCAAGTTGGCTCTCGTTGTTCGAACAGACTTGAAGATGGAAAAGGGAAAAGCAGCAGCTCAGTGTTCCCATGCAGCAGTCATGGCATACGAACAGGCCTTGCACCTCCAACCCACCATTCTCAAACTATGGAAAGCATGTGGGCAGGCCAAGCTAGTGCTCAAAGTGGAAACAGAATGTGAGTTACTGGAACTTGCCCACAAGGCTCGCAGCCAGGGGCTCATCACAAGTCTTGTATGTGATACTGGACTCACCCAGGTAGATCCAGGCTCCAAAACTGTGCTGGGGATTGGCCCTGGACCTGTCAACCTTGTGGACACAGTCTCTGGACATCTGAAGTTGTTTTGAGGAAGAGAATGTGTCATGTGTGAACTCATGTATGGAATCAAAAAGACTGGAAAATAGAGTTATCAGTGTGAGTAACAAGAAAGTATTTCTTCTGTGTGCTACCATTTAGTGCATAGACACCCATGCTGGACAGTGTGCAAGACAATTTTGAGTTGCATAAACATTACTTACTGTCTTACTGATAGTTTAATGCAATGACAGCAGTAACTTGAATTACCAAAATTATTACTAGCATAATGCCAGTTGGTCAGCTCTGTTCATTGGACAGCCTTCAGAGGCTCTATGCACCTGCTAGTCTTGGCCAGGAAATTATGTAGGTCATGTGCAGGAAGGTGAGACAGACAAGCTGAGACCTAGGAAAAGAAGAATAGGTGATGCATTGTTAGGCTATTCGGGACAAATGAGAGAGCAATGTTACATGTACACCCATTGCTAGGCAAGGAATGGTAAACAAGTTACTGCGAAGACGAACTCTCGATAAACAGTAGATTGCTAGGTTACCCAACAATAGAGGAGGTTTCTGTGTTGTCCGTTCCTCGCAGCAGTAGAAACAGAGGAGGTTATGCAGCCCGTTGCCATGCAATGCCTCCGTAAACAATGTCCAACCTCAACAGTAGAGCAAGCTGTGTTTTCCATATGCCCGGCAGTTGGAGTAGGATCAGTGACATCACACATCAACAGTCGGTGGCCGTTACGTGACATGTGTTCCATGCATGTCCGTCAGCTGCGCATGTGCGGTGACACCCTAGAGCAACAGTGGGTAGGGGTCACGTGATATATGTTTACTGTTGGGCGATGTCCGTTCCACGGCTATATATGTGATTAGAATTCTTGAGCTGGTAGAGAAAAATAGTAGTGGCGGAGTCACGCAAACGGAGCCAAGTGGAGAACCCAGGAGGATTCAACAGTTGAGAGTATAAGCATGAGAATTGAGCCTATCCTAAGCGAATTGTGTAGATTGAGTACTGATTAGGACAGTGGAGTACAGAGTGATTGAAGCCGAAATAACAAGAAGCCTTCATAGTGATTTGAAGTGATAGTTTCTGTGTTGAGATCCGTTGCTAGGAGATGACTAGTGGAAACAGAGAATTCTAGTTCGTGTGCAACGGTGACCTAAAACGTGTATACATAGGCGATAGCGCTGTATTTAAGTGTAATTAAGAGAGATCATAACCAAAGTGCTAATAAATCCAATCATCCGAACTAGAACTCTTCATTCTCATCATGCGTACCAACATACACATGACAGTATATTGAAAGCGGTGAAGATATAAATGTATCTTGTGCATGTAACGAATTTGGTCCTCTCTCAGGCTCTAATTTTTATATCAACTGTTTATCTATTTTTATAAGCGTATTTGCTCGGCAGATTTCATTTATACAGAAGAGAAAGGTGAAGATGATAGTGGAATGCCGTATGCTCATACCTTATAGCTTCGGATATTTGCAAAATTGTGGATAATCGGTCTGGCACTTTTCAGAAAGAATGAGGGTGAGAGAGGACAGACAACTAAGTAGAAAAGTGATCTCAATATCTGCTACTACACCCATAACTCTTAAAGCATATGTGTGGAATTTTATTACGAGGGACCTGAGGAATATACGAGTACATATATTTATTAAAATAGGCACTGTTCATACAACTGTTGTGTTTCTGGACATTATCCATCGTCCTGTTTTTATTTGAAACACGACGTTTCGGGGACTGGATTCTGTCTCCGTCTTCAGGTGGAACCTACTCAGTTGGGGCCAATCGATATAGCTAGTCACTATCTCCGGACACCTGCACCAAACACAAGATAGGGTTATACAAACCAGGCAAAGCACAAATCATCTGAATAATGTGAAAAAGTATATACATTGTAAGACGGTTAGCATAAACCATGGATATGAATCAGTGTAACAGGACGCTAAAATATAACATATAACATCTGAGAAAGTTAAGACAAACATTGGAAATATTTAAAAAAGTACTCCACATATATGAGGCCTAGCACCAGAATACTATCAGAATAGATGTCACTTGAGATATAAATTCTCTGTATGGTACTAACACAAAAAACACCAATTTCCCATTTAGTTTACACTGGACGGAGTTGTACTTGTTTTACGTCTGCTACGATAACAGGGGTCCAGATGGAAGAGACGCCCAAGCTGGGCTGACTGATCTACCATCTGGACTCCCATTATCGCAGTTGAAATAAAAAACTACAACTCCTTCCATTGTAGAGTAAGTGGGAAAATTGTGTTCTTTTTTTTTTGTGTGTTCTACCATACAGAGAATTTATATCTTTAGTGATGACATCTGTTCTGATAGTACCGTGATGTCAGGCCCCATACGTGTAAAGTTTTTTTTTTTTGTGTTTTTAATGTTTGTCTCAACTCTCGCAGATGATTTGTATACCCTCTCTTGTACTAGTGCAAGTGACCGGAGATATGGACTAGCTCTATGCGATAGAATAGCGCCATGAAGTCCATTGAAAAAAACTGACGTTTCGGAGAAACATGTCGCCTCCATAGTCAGTGTTGAAGAGTAAGGAGAGTTTTTCTTGTTACGTGCCTCATGATGGTTTCTTGCTTTGGTTACTCTACAATCCAAAAGATGAAGGAGATATTATTGTCACGTGTATTGTCGCGCTGGCTGTTGCCTAGCAACGAGCTATAAAAATTACTCCTATTGTTGCATGCTCGTTTCGCGGTGTGTTTATCAAGTCGTCTGGCAATGCATTGGCATGTCACATTATGTTCCTCCGAAACATCGGTTGACTTTCAGTGGGCTGCGTGGATCCAAGAAGATACAGATCTTCATAACCACCGCTCTGAGAACTTCAGATCCTACAGATATAATTAACTGATGCGGAAACACTCGTGGCGTTGATATTAGACAGATAAACTTTTATAATATCCTAGGATCAAGCAGAGTGACGCAAGGTAGTATTCTTGACCCGTATTTGAGAGGTGCTCGGCTCGAACGGCGGTCGTGACATCGGCTATCCTGACTGAGGATGTTCGTGGTTTTCCTCAATCGCTCCAGGCACATGCCGGAAAAATACCTAGATTAGACCACTACCGCTTCCTTCCCAATCCTTTCCAATATGACATCCATTTCTCAACCCCCTATTCAATGCTACATGATCTAGAAACTGACAGCGTCGTAAAATAACCACCCCCTCTAAAAAATCTAGGACAAAACCAAAATTTACGTATTTTTATTATGTGTGATCACAATCAGAAATTTAACAGTAGTGTTGCAGAATTTGTGTTTGATCATGCTAGCAGGCTTTTAGAACAAACTTGACTCTAATTGACAAATAGATGCAGGGAGAGGCCTAGTTCTTTCCCACGTACACATCATTATCGAAATATTCTGCGCAACTGCTATTAATGTTCCTCTATGTAACATTTCGTAATATGTACTGCATTTGTTCATTCGTTAGGAGAGTTTAAATGCGTCCCAAATAAAGAATTTTGGAAACCGCCTACCAGTGTCGTCATGTCTGTATGTAACAGTATTCACACTGTCCAATGATTTTTATCGAGTTCGATATGATAGAAAGTGAACCAACGATGTAAGTCAATAATCGCATTTCGATTTTGATTCTCGACTTTCATTCGCTCCCCTGTTTTACGAGAGCATATATATGTATATGGTTGAAGTACAGCTCCACGCTCTGCAGACCCCAATGTAGTGAGTTCTGCCACGAGTATAATGCAATTGTTGCGTTATTGAAATTTCCCTTGACATGGAAAATCGCTGTATAAAACCGCCGATTTCATCAGAATAAACACTGAACCGTTCTTCCCCTTACATCGTATTTCCATGGTACGTCGTGCCCAGTTATCACGTGCTGAGTCGCACTGTATCCAAAATGGCTCCTGTTATGTTAATAATTATCGTTAATTTTTCTTCCATCGCGTTATAGTTAAATTGACATCATTATGAAAACAGATAGATAATACCTCCGTTGCCTTATATCCAAAATAGACCTGTTATGAAAACAATTCACTAATATTGTACTTCCATCGCTTTGTATCCAAAACCGACCCCTTATGAATTTAATATGCTAATACTTCCATCGCGTTATAAACCAAATGGATCCTGCCATGGAAATAATGATTGTCAATACTTCCGTCATGGTATATCCAAAATGCACACCAGTACGAAAACACTGATCTCTGTTATGTATTTGCATATCGTGTATCCAAAATGACCCTCGTTATGAAACACTGACAGCTACTATTTCATCGAAGTGTATTCAAAATGGACGCCGTTATGAAAACACACGCTGTCTAAAATATCTTTGAGGGTACATCCACCACACCGTAAGTAGACAACCACACGGAAGAAAATTCCTGTGCTTTCAACGAAGCCTCCAGTATGATGCTCACGGGGATCGCCTTTCATATGTTGCACAATTTTATACCAACCTCGATGAAATTATTAAAATATTTATGTCTACAAATAATGTTCAGGCTGATGATGACACATCCTCAAAGATGTATTAGATAGAGTGTATTTCCATCGCGTCATATCCAACAATATTCGCTCACACTTTCATTGCATTATATCCAAAACGGTCCCCTTATGAAAACATGGATCGCTCAAACTTCCATTGGCTTTTATCCAAAATGGGCCCATTATGGGAATACGAATCGCTCATACTTACGTGTATATCGCGTTATATCCAAAACGGACCCGTATGGAAAACTGATCGCTCAGACTTCTGTCGCGTTATATCCAAATCGCGTAACAACAGACCTGACTGTACCTAATGGAGGTCAGTGTGGAGCTTCACGCTGCGGACGCGTCGGTGCGAGGCTGGATGCTAAGACGGGGGGGGGGGGGNTGAGAAAATTGTAATGCAAATGAGAGCATATGGAGAAGAATGTCGTACGAAGGAGACCGAAGGAGCTGAGGAGACAGGGGGGTTGGTAACAACCCTCAGTTACACTTTTCGGAATATATTTGGCTGCACATATTTTTCAACGGGCATGCTGAT